CAGTACCTGCTACAGTAAAATTCATGGAAATATTGTCAGTTTTCCAATTTCACTGGAAGTTGCCAGTTAACGAGATCTGTTTACAACACATGGTTTCTTTCTACAGAAACTAGGGTGTTAAGAGATTTACAGGGGATCAAAAATTCTTCTCCTAGAGGAAGCTGCATCCCAAACACATGAAGTAAATGCAGCAGGAAGATATGAAGTAGGCAGGGACAAGTGTACTCCTTAAAGCTCTGGGACAAATTCATCCAGCAATCTCCCTTTGGCCATTTCCAGCTGGCTGCAAGTGCTTTTCCGTGGGATGCAGATAGTGAACTTACCTTGATACCCTAAAAAGCTCCACAGAAATGGAGTTTTACCACAGAGGACTCACACTATTATTATTCTAAACGCAATGCAATGGGTAGATTAATTAATTCAGTTTCAGTATTTTAGCTGTAATGTGACATTCAGTACTGTCGTGTGAGGCAATGCCACCCCAGGCACAGCTGCACCTCCATAGCCTTACACGTTGCTGCAGGATGCTGGGGACTTGAGGGGACAGCCCCAGGAGGAGCCCTTCCTCACAGAATCACATGCACTGCAAATATTTTTGTTGGGGGAAGCATGAAGGTATTCCTCAGGGCAGGACTTCAGAAATAGGCTGTAGTTTGCTCAGTTTAGCCACTTAACTCTGCCGCTGAACCAGGGCATCTAAAAGATGTCCATAATTTGGGGGGCAAAGGCAGTTGCCTGGGAAGATCTCTACAGAGCTGCGAGGTTAAATCAGTCCAGATCCACCCCAAACTAAAAGTGAAAAACTAGTTAGCTTCCAAGCATTCAGCTGGGAACGTGACACTGAGTCCTTTAAAGAAATACTACTGGAGATGACAAAATATTGATAAACTACGTGTAGCCTGCATAGCAAAAGAAAGCCCAGAGTAAGGTCAAATTTAGGTGGCCTATATGGAGAAGGGATGGGAGCCAAAGCAGCCTTTAATGTTGGGACAGGGTCTGGGGGAAAGCATGATAACATGTTTTAGGGGCAGCGGAAGTTAATCCTTTCACTAGGAACAGGTCAGGAGCCTGGCCAGGTGAATTTTCTTTTTTTAATCTCTTAGCACTCTAAGATCCTCTGTGCTCTGCACTAGCCAAAATGACTTGCTCCTGGATGTACCGCTCAAACACAGTTCTTTATTTATCCACTTTATCTTCTTTTACAGATATAATTTTGAAGCATGGCTGACCTTGTCTACGCCCTTGCTTTGCCCTGTGAAATCTCTTTATTCAATCCTTGTCACTCGCTTTCCACTCCTGATCTGCCCCACATCAGAACTGTAGTTTGGTGCAAGATAATCCCCTGTGCTGGATTAAAGAACATCCCAAGCAATGCTTTGACAAAGGGGAGACAAAATTTCTACCATTATAGAACACAGGAAAAGAAATGTGCCACAAGAATTGGATGTTTAAGCAAGTACCAGTAAGTCAAAATTACATCCAGATGTAAAGGCTGGCTCCAAACTACTTAATAGTAATTTATTAAAATGACAGCTACTACAGTGCTGCCTATCACAAAATGTGAAAAAATACTCTATTCTCTAATTATGGCTGTAGTCTGCCCTCACTCTGTGCCTGTACCAAGGGTAAAAAAATGCACTTAGTATTTTGAAAAATTCTGCAAGGCAAAGGCAGGTCTGTAAATCAACAGTAACACTGAACCCCTTGCAAAGCATGTCAAGAGAAAAGTTGACCAAGATCTTAAGCCTCTTGGAACAAGAACAACATCCTCAACTCTGGGAGCCCCCGAGCCTTTCGTGGCTCTTTTCCAGGTCAGAGGGAGGTGAAACACTCCTAATAGGCTACGTGGGAGCAGTGCAGTGCACACCCCATCAGAGAGGGTGGGAAAAGGGTATGAGACTCAGCTGGAGCACTGCTACTCTGACTTCATGGGGTGGTCCTACAGCTTCACAGCCAGAGCTAGTTTTAACTCCCCTGGCAAATACCCAGCGGGTGAGGTTTTTTGTAACACCTTGAGCTTTGGGCCGACTGCAAAGCAGCAAACCCATGAACCTGCAGCTCTGAGGCTAGTAGCACCTCTGTTTGAATGACTACCTCAATTTTAACAGTGCTTGAAGCACAAGCGCCTAATGACTCAAGGTTGATGCTCCTGTACTGACCAAGAGCTGTTGCAATTTGTTGGATTGTAAAACATAGTGTATAAGTGTGATTTCAAGAAAGAGGAAAATACTTTCAGTGCATGACTAATTGCCTTCTTGAGTAAAAGCAATGATGATACTTACAATTCCAAGTCCTCAAGTCTTTTTCTTTTACAGGAAAGTAGAGAGGTGAACAGAGTTGTCAAAATAAACATTCTTAAATCAAAGGAACCCTTCTTCACTTTGCCCTGAGGATGCTCCCAATGAGATGACTTTTTAGGCTATGCTATTCCTAGTAGTGTCTGGCACTACAAGATATTCCCTTTTCTGACCTATTTTGCCCATTTGATTCTTTCAGAGTTGCCTTGCAATTACTACATTACATTTAACTGCGTATGTTTAGGGTATGTCTGCACAGCATCATTCTGTGCCACGTGGGGATGCATGAGCTGGCAACAAGCGCACTGGCTCCGAAACCAGAAACACTGGAAAAATAGTACAACATTTCACCAAATTAACATACTACTGCTATGAGAGGTGAGTGACTACCAAGGTGCTTGACATGGTGCCACGCAGATCCGTATTTCATACTGATGTAAGCTGTATTTTGTACATTACACCTCCTATATCCAGTTGATACTTTCTTACTGTTAATACACTTTCTACCCCTGATTGTGCATTTTAATCAAAGGTTTTCAGGTTATTTCAAGCTGGAAGGGGCCTCAGGAGGTCTCAGTGGCTGCTGCTGAAGTTTTTCTGTTGTGTCTTCTACCAAAGGGCCTAAAACTTGGATGCTATATTCTAGACAGGTCCTAATAAGTGCTGAGTAAAGGGGGATAATAATTTCCCCTCAATCTACTGGCTATGCTCCTGTTAATATAGCCCAAATTACTTCACCCAAATAATTATGAAGTAAAGAAAATACACCTCCCTTAAACTACAAATAACCAATGATTTTTAGCCTGTTTTTATTACTGATGACAGAGTATGTAATTTTCAGCTTATTTTTTCTACTACATTTTTGGAACAGAATTCACATAGAAAGGGTAATTTCTTCACTGTTCTGTCACTGTCTACAGCAAATGTCATCTTTTGGTTCACTGCTGTTCTTCTAAACTTAGGATTTGGGTGCTCTTTGGGTTCACTGATATTCAATGCAGTTATTATTTGAATAAATTCGCTTGTCACTTCCATAGCAGGCTGTAATTTTCATTTACTATTAGAGGTGTTCAATGGAGGTTCAACAGTGGCTACCTATGTAGTTGTTTGGGGAGAAAGAAAAGTACCTCAGGAACATGTCGGAGGGTAGGAGGCAAAGCAGGATCTTGAACCTAGGTCTGTTGTCCTCAGTAGAATACTCCAGTCACAGAACTTTTGGTTGCTTGGGCATTTTCTCTTTCTCTTCCTCTCCTCTTTCCCTTTCCATCTCCCCCAACCACAAACCCTATCTGTGAAATAATTTTCTTGAAAAATTAATGACTGACTTAACTGATTAATATGCATGTATCTCAATGTCCTCTATAAGTTATTTTTTTTCCTGTCTGATCTTCTGCAAAGAACTTCCAATTGGCTATTATGTCCAATAAAGTGAAAACCTAGAGTCCCAAGAGGCTAATTATCCATGGTTTTGTTACAATATTAATTCTGGCAATCACGGAATTTTAAAATTCAGCTGAGGTAATATGAAAAGCAACTCTTTTAATAACTGCATGATCATGAAATACTGCAAAGAAGTTTTCTGAGGTCATTTGCTATTGTGAGATATGGCTTTCCCAGTAGTCTCTTAGTTGCTTTTCCGTTATGAATTTAGAAGAGTGAAGTTTGGCTCTAAAAGTGGAAATTGTTATTTTATTTCCTCAGGAAGCAGTTTTGGGCAAAAGAACAGTTCCTTCAAAACATATTTTGAATGCAGGGAAAGGACTGCATTAGGCTGCAACTTGCAAAATTACAAATGTTCTCACTTGTCTTGGTTTTTCAGCAGCGGTTAGCATTCACAATTTCAGATGGATTTGGTGGGAGATGTGGATGTCTCTCAACATAAAGGCTTTTATGCTTCTTCCTTCCAAGGGGCTCAGCTCACAGTTGGTTAAATGCCTGCAGCTGCCACTACCAAAGGGTCTGAGTCTCCTGTAGGTCCTATGTCACATCTGCCTGACCTCTCCCTAGAGGTACCTAGGACATCTTAAATGGCTCCAGATGCCTATATTTAAGCAATAAAGTTGAGCCCCATCAAACATTAGTTTTCTGGACAGAAGGTGAACTGTAATCATTAAGGGCAGATCCTGCCACTATATTCACCATCTCCTTGTACGCAGTCATAACTTTTATACTATGTATAGTCCAGCTAATTAAAAGATCAACCTCCCTGAACCTCTGTCTAACCAGTTTTCCCATTTTCCAGTTGCTTCTGCAGTGCCCTAACTGGACAGCTGCTGTCATGGGGCTTGCTGTGATCTCAGCTTTTATTTCAAGTTCCTGAACTTCGTCTTGATTAAAAAAAAAAAAAGTATAATCCAATTGTGTGTGGAGGAATAATTTATGCACTGTAGTTACTTGCAGAGTATCTCTTTGGGATATAGGAACAGAGAAAATCTACTTTGTGAATCCTGTCGAATTGTGTGAATCCCGTCGTACTCTGGCAGCCAAATGAGTGTGTGAAGCAGAGAACCTCGGAGGCCAGAATAACCTTTGGTTTTGTCCAAGACAAAACAGACAAATGGTGCCCCTGGAAGCAACCTTGAGAGTCCCTTCAGCTTTAATCTGTGCAGTGATTAATTAGTAGGTGTCAGGTTTTAATTAATTTATTTTTTTTATTAGGGGTGAACTTGGAAAAATATAAGCTGAAAAATCTGATTTACTTACTTATTGTGGATCCAGATTCGGGCCTGTTTAGGGAACTGATGATAACAAAGCCAAAACCTTCATTCTCCTTGCGGTGGATCACAACGTCACTGGTTTGCAGGCTGTGAGAAGTGAAGCCCTCGGGGGGTGTAGCGTTGCTACTAGAGACAGCATGATTACTGTTAGCATAAGTAGTGTAGTCACTTCTTGGAGAACTGTGGTGCGTAGACACCGAGCCTGGGCTTCTGCCATTCTCTGGGCACGGTTCTCCTACAACATAAATCGCACCAGTATTACAGTCTGACTTGCTCAGTGGCTTTGTGACTTACACTACATTTGCTAATGCAACATGAATACAGTTGACTGTCTATAGCCCAGACTACCACAAGTATTAAACTAAGAGCTGTAATAGATGCAGAGAGACAGGAATCTACACAATTATGCAAAACCTTCAAGGGCAATCAGATAAAGCAAGCATGAACACTCACTGCTAAGCTATCTAAAAGAGAGGAAAGGAAAGTAAGAAACAGTGGCTATTTGGATTGCAAAAAAGTTAGCAAGCACTATTGCCTTCTCTGCTGGTTGATCTGTCATCAGGAGGAAAATGTGACCATCTAATCCAATATAAAATTATTTGTGTTTGGATTAAAAGAATTTAAGCAGGCAGCTAACATAGAGTAATTAAGATTAGCTGCATAATGTTCTTCTTACAAGTTGATTAGTATGCTCAAAAGATGTTCATGGAACAGAGCAGTTATACAATGAAAAATAATCACAAATAGTTTTTCTGTGGGTGTCGTGACAGAAGCAGTGGTCATTTAAAGGTTTTGAAGATGCTCTTGTGTGGCGAGTTCAAAGGACAGAAGTGAAAATGGAGTCCATCCACACTTCAGTATTGCTTTATAGTAACAAGAACAGGGAACAAGTTAAATCCTGTGGGATTACACACTTTTTTAGTACAAGCATTTTGGCAATTGAAAACAGTAAAGTTACACTTCCAGATGGGATAAAAGATTTATATTCTTCACAGATCTAAGTTGTTTACACAAATCAGCATTTATTGACAGTTTTAATACAGAACTTTCAGATGAATGTAAGGAATATGTTTTCTGTTCAGAGCAATGAGAATGGCAGAGTCATTCTACTGAACGCGTGAAGAGCTTACGCATACACACATACATCCTAGGAAGAGAGCTTGCAAATTAGACCTTCAGTGTGTATATATTAATAAAATAAACATCATCCAAGGACAAGCTGTTGTTTTCTCATTCAGGTGTGTCCTTTAGCAGTCCTTCTGCAACTATGAAATAAAGTGATTAGAGAGAATAAAGAGGAAGAAAAACAAACAATTATTATACTCCTGCATTAGAATTGAAAATCTCCAAGAGTTATTGAACCAAATCTGCAACTAAATGCCATAGTCAGTGACAAGAGAGATCTCATTTTCTGGCTGTCATGTTTCAGAAAGCTGAATATTGTTTATGTCAGTATGGCTGCAACAGAAAGGAAATTATCTTACCCTGCAGAATGACCAAGAGCTGGTTTGGCCATAAAAGAATGCAACAGAATGCCATTAAGTATAGGAAAAAAAAGATAAAGGAGGGAAAGTTTAAATGGCTATTCGATTGTCAGCTGTGCAATAGATATTCATCAGAAAAATTACGTTTTGCTTCTGCCTGTGAAAAAATGGTATTTTAATCCGTGTTGTTCTGAATACCACATTTTCCTAATCAAATTGTTTTCCAGAGCTCGTGAATGGTGATTTTCTGTTCCAGATCTGGGTAAGTATCTGTGCAAAATGGCAATTCCATGCGAGGGCTAAGGTACGTACATCAGCTATCAGGCAGGTAAGGAAAGCCCCAGATCCCTCTGTTGTATACATTCATGCTAGTGAGAAATTTGCATGAAATCAATTGGCCTGATGTGTTAGTATAGCATTTTTCAGTCATGTCCAACATCAGTTGTTTTAAATTTTTTACACAAAGTTTATGTTGTAACACACCAAATTAAAATCCTGTTCAGCTCCTGAAATGCTTAAACATTAATGAGTTACACACTATACTCCCCGGTGTGGCGCTCTCAAGGCCCAAGAATAACTCCAGGTGTTTTACCAGCTTGCTTCATTTTCTGTGCCAGGAGACCAGAGTGTCTAATAGACCCTTTTATTTAATATTTAACAAGCAGCAGCGAAGGCTGGCATCTACTCTGTGCTAATCCTCTTGCTAATTTTGCCTGCAGTCTGTACAGCCGGCTGACCCGGGAAAGGTGCTAATCGCAAGTGCTCGGCGGATTACCTTGGTTATTGGCCATTTTCCTAGCGCTGGGGGAGCTGCGAGGGGGCGTCGCGCCGGGCGGAGGGGGACCTTTCTGGCTGGAGGACTCTGGAGTCAGTAACAGAAGAAAGTCAGTCCTGTGAGAGCGCGGCTGGCAGGGAGCTGCGGTGCCGCAGTGGGAGGGGGACTGCGAAGATGAAGGTGAGTGGGAGGGCAGCTTTTTGGCAGGGGAGCGAAGGGGAACAGCGCAGGCAACGACAGTGCATCTAGGGCATGGGGAGGCAGAAGACAGGACAGGCTGGGAACGTGGTTTTGCTCATTTCTGGTGCCTCAGTGAAGTGTACTCACCACAAATGTTTTAAAAGTTCTTAAATAAACTTCTTTCCTCGAGTAAGCAAAGGTTGCAATGGAACGGCAGCAAATTCTCCCATTAAAGCTTTAATAGATACTGCCACACATTTTTCCAGGTTCCAGTGTTTTTCAACAATTGAGACCGAGCTAGTCTAAAGGTTTAATTTACTTCAAATTCTTCATATTATTTAGGTTTATTTTCTGAATGTGTCTGCTTGAAGGGAGGATCCGGCCCTGTTCCTAGGAGCCGCTTGTGCCATACGGAAGGTTTTCAGCCAGCTTGTGCTGCAGTCGGGGGGAGGGAAATTCCAGATGACATCAGTGAGACCAGAAATGGGCTTTTAACACATACAAGAGTGAAATGAGTTCCTGCCCTAAACAGTTAACAGTCTTTGAGTCTTTCTCTGGTTGCTTATTGACACAGTCAACTTTAACAGCTTTAACTTAGGTGAATGTTTTTTCCCAAAAGTGGACAAGAGGAGACAGCACAGACCAAGACACAATGGAACAAATCCAGAGCACTCATGATCACCACACCGGAGTTACCAATATTGTTTCCGCTTCTGAAGGAAACAACACTCAGCTGTAGTGTTTTTGTCACAGAAACAAGGGACACATATTTACAATTATTCTTTCTTCAAAATGACACAAACATTCACTTTGATTTTAATTTTCTCTATTTTCTTAAAACAGCACCTCTTTGTGCTGCCAGCATTGAGATCTGTTTTTCCTTTTACCTTTCCCAGCCCTCACTCACCCGTGGGCAGCACCTTTCTCCTCACAGTAAGATTCACTTGGCCGTTTCGGGCAGCGTTATGCATAAGATCAATCACATATCGGTGGGTTTTGCCGGCCACTGGAATCCCATCTACATACACCAGCTCATCACCAGGATGGAGACGACCATCTCGGTCTGCTGAGCCCATGGCAATTACTGCTCCGATGAGAATCTAGGCAGCAAAGAAACAAAATCCCATCATATATACACTGAGCCTCCAATTTAGTGCCATGAATGTTGCAGTGATTCTCCCTTTCTTTTGAAACTAAGCTAGTGATTCAGTGCAGGTGAAGAGATCTGTGTGTGTCTGAAAGCTGTGCTCCTCTTCTGTGGGTGTGATTGAAGATGCTTCCTTGCCTTTGGTAAGAAGGTAAGATGTTTCCTACGTGTGTAGGAGTGATACACCTGAGAATCCTGGTCTAAGGATGATCTACCTGATACCTTCAAATCGAGATAATCTGTCTATAAGGAGTGTTGAGTTTATATAGACTACACTCTGCAGAAGATCTAAACAGATTAATTCCACGTAAAGGTCCTTTTGACTTAAAATTAGTTAGTCTGCATATTTCTTATTGAAGGTTCCTCACACCTGGAGTAATACACTTGGGGTCAGTAGTGGAAGTGACCCCACTACACAGAGTTTGCTTTGGGAATCTAGGGGAAAAGAAGTGCTATATCAAATGTTGTTACTCATAATGAATAATTGCTCAGGTAGCGGTTGATTAACAAGATGGAAAAAGAGGAAAAATGTCAGCTTACTCTGGGCAGATGTTGCTTTCCCAAATTGACATCTAAATGTAATTTGTATGGGACATATAAACTAGTAAAAAATCTGTTCAAAACCTTTTAATGACTTTCTTCACTTTCTATGCACATAAATTCACATAATTTATTAGAAGAAGACATATATATTTTCCCTGTGGAATAACTGGTAGAACAGTTGAGATTGATTCAAACAAAACCTTTCTTTGAAAGAATATTAAAGCATTCACAAAGCATGTTCCAAATTTTCCTTTCTCTTGTTCAGTGTGAGAGTGAGCACGGAATGATGGATATGACATACCGTGTGACAATCTGCTTTAAAAAATAAAAGATAAAAGCTATCAAGTATTGCTTTTCATGATGAACTGCAAAGGCTAGATGTGGTAGTCACACAGGTGGTCTTGTGGGGTTTTTTTGTGTCTTAGCTGCAGAGTTGTAATTATCCCAGCAGAGTGTTTAAATGAAACCCCATGTGGAGCCTGGAGAATTTTCCCCAGTTTCTAGCCTCCCTTTGGCTCCCTTTTGCTTTCAAAAAGAGAGAAACACGACGCGGCATTTTCCTCCTTCCTGGTGTTCCTGGGATCCTGTTAAACAGTGCCAGGCTGAGTTGCCAGAAAGTCTTTCAGGTTCTCCATTCTGTTCTTCAAATAGTGAAAGAATATACCTCAAAGCTTTGGAAAATACTTTGTGCAAAATCCAGCTATGAAATATATATTTATGCTCCTTTACTGGATAGGAAAAAAGCTGTCCAAAGCTACATTTAGCTAGATCTTCACAAAGTATTCTCAAAACCTTTATATTTGGGCATCTCACATGAGTAAGATTTTTTTCCTAGTTATTTTGGGAAGAGATGGGTGATAACGATCTGCAGCTTGGAAGATTGTAGGGACTGACTTCCTCCTTTGGTTTTATTGAGCATTTGCAGTTTCTTTATAATTGGCTGCAAAAGTATTGAACAATTTGTGCATCTTTAACCTTTGGAGAAACACAAATGCAGCTCACAGCATGGAAGGTCATCAGTACCTACAGCACAGTGCAAAACCTCTTTCTAGTTTTGACTAATTAAGTAATTATTGCTGATATTTCACATGTCCACAGTGGAATGTGATTGTGTTACTCATCTCAGTGGTGGAACTGACTCCTAACATAAGCAGCAGAGTCCTACTTTAAACACTTCAGGTAGGTGTGTTTGTCAAGATGATGGCCACCATATCTGTTATTTGGTATATTTAATAGCAAGAAAAACTTAATTTTCCTTCTTTTTCATTTTCTGTGTCTGAACTTGTTTCTTATCCAGTATCTGCTCTCATCTCATGGCTGAGTAGTTCCCATAATAGTTATAAATTCTACAAAAAAACCACAAATTGGAAAAATACTTATCAGGATTATATTACCTCTGTAATGGAGTTTCATACTGGCATGAGATTTGAATGTGTGAGGAAAAGGATGATGACATGTAGGTAATAAAGAGTGTGTTGTAGAAAAAAGGGAAAGTTTCACCTATTGCTTGAGATTAAACATGAGAAATGCTGGGATTAGGAAGATTGTGAAAGAGCATAATCTGAAATTGAAGCCTGGGTCTATTAACTCGTACATGTTAATCTGTTTTGATACTGAGTTTCTTTGTGATTCTTGGTAATTATTTGACTTTGTGTTTCAGTTTCTCTGAATATAACACAGTAGCTTCACAGGCACATAGTAAAATTTAAGTAATACACATAAAAGGTGTGATTCATGTCACCTAATTTTAAGTGTCTGTGATGTCTAAATCCAAGCTAATCAACTCTGTCTAATCATTGCCAAAAATAGGAGTTCCTAAGGTGTGGTCTGCATTATCCTAACGTTTTGCTCTATGGACATCTGTTATGTCTTAGAAATGTCTGTTTCTTGGCACTCATCATAAAAGGAATATAGACATACATCTTGCAGGCATTTTTGAGAAGAATCCCAGTCAATCTGTGTTGAAAAGGTGAAACTCTTAGTGTAATTATGTATATGTTCCTGTGATTTTGAGTTTGAGCTGCACAAATGTATCCAAAATACTTTTCCGCTTTAGGACAGCAATTTGCAACTTCAGTAAAGTTCCAATTTACGTATATTTGCAACCCTTCAGTGATATAATTCACCATAATAGAGTCAGATTATCTCTAACTCCTCAAGTTACTGGAGATGTGGATAAATACCTGTGGTGGTATGTTCTCATGAGATTTGAGAGGTGATTGGAACTGGCACAACCCACAGTCTTGATATTTGAAATTTCTCAATAAATTTAAGTCTTTCCTTTGGAAAGCATCTTTACGCTTACAAATATGGAAGGTGGAGTATTCCAGCATCACTTTCTTCTTCTAAGGTGCCAGGCAGATGATATAACTAGAAGGAAACTAAGCTACAGTCCCTCTATAGTGTCAGTATTATCCTTCTAAAAAAAACTTTATGTGGATTCTGCGTCTTTGAAAAACTTATTGTCTTCTGCTGAACAATCCATATTCCTTTTTAGAAGCCAAACCACAAAGACAAAAGGCAATGAAAACTTCTTTTTGTTCTGTGTTACCTGACTGCACAGCAGGAGAGCTGAAACAAACATTTCAAAGTGTCTCAGTTCTTGTTTCATAGGAAATGCAGGGGTTTGGAGGACAGGCAGAAACTGCCTCTCCTTTTCTGGAGGTGAAAGGAATGGGAGGCTGCAGGTGGGCTGTCCATGGGGGAGCAGGGATGCAGTGGAGGAGAGAAAACAGAGTTAAGAAGTCTTGTATTTTGAATACAAAATGGATGGAAACTAAAAAAAGTGGAGTACATCTGTCGTCTTTATTAGTGATGAATTTGAGCAGTGAAAACAAGTAGATGGGCAACAAAGAGGGAGTGAGAATTAAGAAGTTCAGCACTGCAACACCTAGCTCTAAGGAGGTGCCTTTTTGCCTCGTAGGATCCTCAGCCTCAAGCTAGGATCTTATTCATTCCTGAGGACTTTGAGACATGGTTTGTGGGGAGACATAAAGCCTGTTAGATTGATACATCTGGGGGAAAAACGCTTTTGTACTTGCAGGCCCTGAAATAGAGATAGCAACCTTGAGGCTAAGTGCAGGCTGAGAGCAATTGTTCAGCAGGACAGTGAAGCGTTTTAGAAGGTGGTTCACAGAAGGCAGCATTTTTGGTCCTGCTCTCCAAAAATAGCAAGGTGCTTATCTCTGCACTTGGTATCCAGCTATGACTCTTTGACTTTGGACAGTAAAGCCAGGTCAGTCCTCCACTGAAAAGAAACTAGAAAGAGCTGCTTCCTCTGTAACAGTTCAGTGCATAATGCATGTAGCTGGGAGGCAAAAGACTCGTTTCGAAATTCCCACTCTACTGGACTGTTGAGCAGAGACATAAATTCAGGTGTCCTACAACTCCAGCATGTATTCTTAACCATCAGAATATTAGAAATTCTAAACCAGTTTTCTTGCAGTCGTTAGGTTGAAATCATTCCGTTTTATATAAATAATCATCTTTTAGATGAGGCATTTGAGCTGCACTTTTCCCCATGAGAGTGTTGTAAACCTCCAAACTGCAGAGCCAGTCAGACACTCAGTCTGTGACTACTTAATTATCCATTTGTAATGAATAAAGCACTAAAGGAGACACCAAGACAGACTTTCTCAGAATACTGAGCAGCGTTGTAGCCAGGGACACTTTCCTGGGAGATGGGAAATGCCACTAGACGCTACTGTCTGAAGCAGGTAGAGGGAGATTTCCAAATCTTCCACTAGTGACAATTTTTTGCAGGATAAAGTGATAAAAGGGGACATTTCCTCTAGCTCCTAACAGATTTCCTTTTTGGCTTCACCCAATAGGCGAGCTTTCAGAACCCGTACCGGCTGGGCCATCCAGAAAGGCCAGGAAAAATGCTTAGTTGGAGAATGTGCAGATGATGGCTCAGTGGCCTCATTTTGTGTGCACTGGGACATGCTCCATAGAAGAAAGTTAGATGCCAGAGGGGCTTCAGGCACACTGCAAGTGTAGGTGATGAAACAGTGTTGTTTCGGAGTCCTTCTTTACAGCTACACCTTATTCAGCTTTGAAAATCCATTCCAAAACACTCATTCTAAAATAGGGTCTCTGCATGTCAATCAGCACTTGAAGCACCTTTTTTTAGAATACAGTGCATTTGTTTCTTTTTACAGGAGGCACCAGTAAACTATTAATATTTATCAGTACTTCGACAGATGTTGACAATTTTAAAACAGAGGAGCTTCTTTTTTTCTCAGAGCCTCGTTAATGTTAATGCTTGAATGACAACTATATTATTCTGTATGAATTCGAATATGGAATATATAAATCTATCAACTAGTTATACATTATCTCAGAAATGTGGTAACACAGGACTCAGACTATGCACAAGGTTGTGATAATAAAATCACAACATTATCGACTTGGGATTAGACCTCACTGACAAACCACAGTTACATCATCAAAGTTATTCTGAAGGAGCACTAATTCTGCCTGCTCTCTCAAAATTATAGTATTTATATATATCACTAATTTACCAAAATGTGTACATATTTCTTCTAAAAAGTGTGTATATGTTTTATTTTATATTTTATTTCACCTGCAGTGAATCTATGTTGGTTTTGTTATCTGTTATTTGATTTTGGGGATGTCTCCCTCCTAATGGCATAAAGGTACCATTTTTATGCCTGATGCACCACATGATGTTGTCATCTAACCTGGCACATGGACTACCATTCCCTGGTGGGGCCTTCTGTGCTTCTGGAAATAAACTGCATTGTCAACAGTATCTTTTAACCTTATGCATATATATAGTCTGCCTACATTGAACACAGTTATACATAGGCTTATGTAATCTGATTTTTAAAATCTTCTGCTTAAACTCAGTTTTGGAAAGTCAAGATTAAAAGATGCCAGCTCACACTCTGCAGTAAAGGGCTGAGTGATGCACGGTTTCTAACTTAATTCCTTTTGATTCTAACTTAATTTACTGTGACATCTTTTAGATGCGGACAACCTGAAAGACCTGTCTTTTTCTATGGATGAATAAAAAAGCCATTTTACTTCTAGCCTTAACATGGTGTTCATTTGGGTTCAGCTATGTAGTAATATTTTTCTGACCTTGACACAGATTTTAGAGTTATAAAAAGGAAAGTCAGGAAGAAATAACTCACAGGCTGTCCAGGCTCATCTCCTCCCAGGATCCTGAAGCCAAACCCAGACTCCATTCTCCGAAGGTGAACATCCAGCTCCTTGTAATCGGGACCTGGTTTAAAGGGAAATCCCACTGAGCAAAGCATTTTGGCTTTGTCTTGAGAATTTGCACCATCTTCCCTCCCACCTTGTGTTCATTGCACATGACTAATGGCATCCTGGTTAGAGCTGGTGGAAACAAATGGGACACAATGTGTAGTACACAGACAAAGAGGAGACTTGAAAATGTAGGTATCTCTTGGAGGATGATTATGTTCAGTAGAATACACTAAACCAAGCTAGAACACATTCACAGGAGAACAGTGCTGGAAAAGTTTGTCCAAAACACAGGTTATAAAGGTGCCTTCTTCCTACAACTGACTGCATAATATACTGCTGTTCATCCACCTCTGGTGTTTAATTTGTGTTTTCCTTGCAGTTCATTAAAACCTAAAGAGAATAAACTGAAATGGGAGATAGAGATACATAGAAAAATTATCAGTCCAACTTACAAAAGATGAATAATCATTACAGGCCATTTTAGTTCCACATACAGATATAAAGCAGTATGTCTTTTTATGTAATGTAGCTTTTAAATACTCCACTTTCAGGTAATACCCTCAATAAAGAGTTTTGACGAAAGCTATCATTATAAGCCTCTGAGTCTTAGGTTTTAAATTGAAAGCTAACATCATTGACTTGAACTCCTTAATGCTACTCAATTAAAGTCTCAACAGCTTTATGGATCATTAAGATTGTGCTTCCATATGCCTGCGTAACTTGCCTGTAAACATATATTCTGCCCTGGAATATATCAGTTCAGGAATGTAGTGTTTTTTAAAAGTCAGTTTCTTATAAAAGTGTCTAGCTTCATTTGAAAGAGCCCATTGTTTTGAGTCTTGATGCCCCCAAATTACAAAAGAGAAATTTTGAATAAAATTTCAAGTAGTATAAAGTGAAACCATAAGCAGTTAGAGGACTAAGAAGTTGTCTATTTTGACTATTGCTTTGTCTGCATGTTCAGAGATGCTTTAGGCTCATCACCTTAAGCAGGACAGTGATTAACAGGAATGGTCTTTCATACAGATTGCACTCTGGTCTATAAATTGTGACAGCTTTTGGCCAGTGTCAGCTTGTTGCCAGTCCCAACAGACAAAAAGGGATGAGTAGGTTTATTTCGGCAAACTGTTCACAGTGTCTCGAATTGTGCCTTGTTTTCTCAGGAGGGGAGGGACTACAGATGGCTGAAACATGGTACTTCAGTGACTCTCATTGACAGATCCCCCCCCAGAGCCATCAGTGGACACCTCACAAACTGTGGAGTTGGGCAGATCCCAGCTTTAGTCTGGGATTAAAGCTGATTCCGTTTCAGTCAGGTCTTGCAAAGACAGAGACACACAACTACATGCAGTGGCTCTATACTATGACCATGCAATAAAAATCCTCTCTAGACAGCAGTGTAGTGCATTATTTCTGCAATGTATATTGATATGAGTGAGACTGAATCACAGATATTTCAGTTGGTAAAATAAAAGTATTACCTTTCCCTACCAACTTGCTTCTCATGTATTTAGAAGACAAACCACACAGATCCTAACAGCTTATTATCCTGATTTTTTCAATTTATTTGATGTGTCTCAACAGTAAATAAAAGAACAAATGAAGTTTGTGCATGTACAGTATGTTAACTTAATGCAAAGCTTGTTTCCAAGTTGCGAGAGGCAAAGGAAGCTTTAGATGAAAGCGATACCTTATTTTTACCTGATTTGCTGTGCCTAAGTGTAACAAGGATGGGGCTTAGTACTAGGGAGAAGGCTTTGTAGATAGACAGAGTAGGATCACCATTTATAGCCCAGGTTTAACATTCAAAGGCACTGTTTCCAGCAGTCTGTCACAAACCAAACACTACCTTTATTTGCGCACACATGAATGAATATGCACAGTTGGGAATACGTTAAGAAAGTATAAGAATGTCAGGTTGTGAAGAATACATGCTCTGGCACACTGAGATAAAAACGTCCCTCAAACACATACATTGACAAAGCTGATCCAAATCAATGTCGGCATCAGGATCCAAAATAAGAGGTACTATTTTTTTTAAAAGAGGCTGTTTTTCTACCCATTTAGAATGGAACAAGTAAGCCAGGTTGACCACGAAAAGGTTTAGGCTAAAAATACTGTATATGGGCATACTTTTCTATGAGCTCTTACACAGTTTGGAAGCCTTTGGATTAGCTGACTATGCTATCACGATTGCTCAGAAGAGCCTTCCTTCCCAAATAGCTGGAAGTCTATGGAGCCCATTCTCTGCCAACTCTTACCAGGTCACTGAAAACTGTTTTTAAAAAATAATGTTCTTTTCTGTCCCACCTAAAAAACAAAATGTGGGACTGGAAAGGATCCCTGGGTCATCTAGTCCAGCTCCCTGTTATTGCAAGCCTCTGCAAGCAAACAGCACACAGACCTTACCAGCAAAGAAGACACTGGGTGCCTAAGCCTGTTTGTGGCCTTTGTCACTAGGTCATTCAGCACATCACCTCATTCAGCATTTCACTGATGGATTGCACCCCATGATTTTACTTACTTTTTCACAGTAATATCGTATTATCTCCAGCGACTGACTAGTACGCGTAAGAAGCATTTCCTCCACTGCTGTTGCTGGTTGTTAAAACTTTCGTGCTTGGTATGATATGACTCCATTAACTGCACTGACCCGCTCTCCATTGGTCTGGAGACAACTACACCATAGATACCTGAAGTTACACGTCTGAATGTGGACCTCATTTCCACTCTTAGTTTTTGTGCTTAGGTCATTAATGAAAATAACACAGAAGACTTATTGCAAGGCTCTCCACTAATATTACCCTTTCAGTCCAGAAACTGTTCTTTTAGTAGAATTGCTTATCTGCTTTCTAGCCATTCATCTTTACATTTTGTGCTAAGAACTGTCTTCTCCAGGCTAACATGGAAATGCTTCAATTATAACTGGCATTTTGTAAAATGTCTAGTTGAAGTCTAGATTGATCAAACATGCATCAAAAGGTGCAAAAGGTCAGTTACCAGGTTAGTCTGACACAACCTATTTTTGGTAAACGCCTTTTGCATTAGGTCTCAGTTTATCTCTATATTGGCAGTTAGTCTTTAATCAAAAATACGTTCTAAAGTCTTGCTGATGATGAAATCCCTTTTTTCCTGTTTCTTAGACAGGTAAGTTCACAACTATGTGTTTTTACTACAGGAGCTCATGCCTGGTAGATTTACTAAAAGCCCTTGCTATTATGTGGCAGCAGTTTCAATATTCCTGAATGTACATTGACCAAGTATTCTTACCCATATAAGTGATTACGTTTCATCTGATATTTCTTCAGTGCTTGCTTCTCTAGGATTCAGGTACTTGTTTCTACACAAAGGATTGTTAGAGAAACTAAATTTTGCCTTTTCTTGCTGGAGCAGATTTTCAGTTGATAATACAAAGAAAATTACCTATACTTACAAAAAAATGACGCTCCTGTGCCTTGCAATATACTGCCAACTGTTGGTTAATATAACTTCATTATGGAAAATGCACCTTATTTTTTTTCTTTGTAAGCTCGATTAGCACCTTGTAGTTCATGCCAAGTAAGAAGAAATGAATAGGTTTGCAGATACCGGAGTCCAAGCTAAGACTGAATTAGTACAGTCTTTTGCACAGTTTGCTTTTCCTTCCAGTTCAACTTACTACACCTGAATGTCCCATCTCTTACCAGTTTCATTGAAAGGAGAGTTTCAGGTTGAAGTCAATATTTCTGATCGTATAATATGGGTATCCTGTGCAAGAATGACAATGTTCCCTGTTCTCCCTTGCCTCTCTGCACATTTATATTAGAAAAAGAACTTTAGATATGCCTGCTAGTAACTTCATTGTCTTTTTTATAGTTATAGCATTTTGTTTCTTCTTTTTGTGTAAAGGAAAATGTTCTTAACTGATCATTTGGCCTAGAAGAGAAAAAAAAAACAATTCACTTTGCTAGGTTATAAAACCAAGCTGGCTCCCCCACGAATTTGAGAAGGGTATTGGACAAGCTGTGATCTGATCATTGCTGCACAGTGAGGATGGTAAAGAGCATTGGGAAATTCTGCTTTCTGGTTCCTGGACAACAGGGAATTTGCTTTAAATGTAAAGGTACCAGAATAGATTGTTACTGAACAATACTGGGATATCATAGGTGAAGTTGTGATTATCAACTCTCAGCTACATGTCTGTACTGTATTCATGTGAATTCCTAGGTGAATTACACATTAAGTGTACATGCAATTGTTTCTTGAAAGTATGTAGAGAAAATATATCCCTGAAGAAGATTATTTCATTTTCTGTATGAGTCAAGTTGCACAAGTGCGAAGTGATTTTTATAGTGATAAACCTGGTATTTGGGATGATGCTGTAGATGATGGGATAGAATTTTTTTTTTTTATTAAATCTCCTCTATATGCAATTAAAACAAGGATGAAGAGTTTTGTTGTAATAATTTTACAGTCTTTCTGGGTGTACTTAACTTTCCTGCTAAAAATAAAAATTAATTTTGACTCCTTTGCTGAAGATGGTGAAGATTTTTGTTCCATATAAATCATTACTGTGAATTGTGAATGGTGTTTGACACAAATCTACAATAACTTTTTTTCTGAGTTTCAAATACTCTTGAAAGATGTGAAAAGTTTGAAAACAGTCATGGGTCTGCTGGTCTCCAACGTGAGTAGCTTTTTAAAAAACATACATATTTTCTCTTGATATTTATAGAGAGGAAAAGCTGGTAAATAAAGACTTCAGTAGAAAAATCAGCAAAGCGAAAAAAAAAAAGAAAAAAAGAACTGGTGTACTAACAGAGTTATTCAACCTATGAACCTTCCTGGAGTATGCAAAACCAGCCCAATGTCATATTTAATTTAGGATCTCTGTCCAACCAGTGCTGGACTAGAAAAAACTTTAATGTGATTGTCAAAACAGCCTTTTTTGTATGGGATGCCTGTTTTAACTGTTCATTTAACATGATCACATCGAGAAATCAAATATTGCTGGTTTTTATACAAGTCCATTGCCACTTTACAAGACCAATGTTGATTCAAACACCCAAAAAAGCTTCTATTTTTGAAAGTTTTTGCTTTTAGGTTTTTACAGAACAAGATATATGTATGGGAGCAAGGAATGGGTGGGTCTGCATAATACATCAGTTCTATTCTTTTCCAAATGAAGATAGAATTAATTTCAGTTTTACACAAAATATTGCTTAAGCTTAGATTTGGGCATGAGCTATAGAGACATATTTTTAGGTTAAAGAGTGAACACTAACGTATGAAAGTACACATAAAGCTTTGTAAAACATTCACAAAGACTGGCTGAGGAAAAAGAAATACTTTTCCTTGCTCAAAATGCAAATCTATTATAAAAAGATTTAGAGTTAGCATTCTGTAACCCCACAAAGCTCATACAAAAATAAAATGGTGACTGGGTAGTCATGACTGGCAATTATCTAGAGAAATGATGAAAAGAAAGAAGAATAACTAAAACATAAAATGAAGGACAACTAGTTTACAGAACAATGAAGTCTGAAGAATACTTGCCAGAGGAATCCACTCGAAAACCAGTCCTGGGCAGCACTTGTTCTGAATAGGAAAATGGGGAATTAAAGATGAAATACATTTCTCAAGTTATTTAAAGATGCAGCATCAATTTCTCTGCTGTGTTTTGAATTACTGAAGTGCAATTTCTACTTTTTAATTGCAGTTTTTTTTTTCTCCTCCCCTCTTTCCTGACTTCCTAGGTGGTACATGTATATATTCCTGCTAGACATAGACCTCCCTGTCCATTTTTATGCAAAATGAAACGTATGGTAAGATGGTAATGTTCCTTTAACATAACATAGGTTATGATGAAGATAAAATTGTTAATGTGTTTAAAATTGTGAAAGTTAGTGACAGTATTTGTGCTTATTCAAGTACAGCAATAAAGACAAAGTTTAATGGCTGTGTTTAGATGACTTGACCACCGCTTTTATTCAACTCAATTGCAAAATATCTTCTATCTTCAAGAAGAGCAAGATTTTGCTAGAAGGATGTATGTTGCCAGTAACAACTGGTTGTACCTGCAGGTAAACCCATTTAACCTACTTTTCATGCAGGTAGTTTCAAAGTATTTGCATTTCACTAGATGAAATGCAGCAAATAACTGATTTGTTTTCATACACAACTACTTTGCTGGCATTAGAGGAATCTGGAACAAGTCCATAGCTGAATTCACCGTCACATTTCCTTTGCTGATTTTGAAATGTTCTGACTAAGAATTTCTGTTTTATTAACTCTGCAGCATCCAGATTGAATTGCAAAACATCCCAAATTAGACGTGATTTCCATTGGCCTACCAACAAGAAAAAGGTAAATAAAGCGCTAACGCATTCATGGGACTCTAAACCAGAATATCATACCATACACATTTCATGGTATAAACAGGGTAAGGCCTGTCACATCAGCATCTGTAGGACAGTGATGCAACATATGAGTATATATTATCTTCCTGAGATAGAAGGAAAACAGGAGTGGATTTAATACTGTAAGTAGGTAGTTCCAGGCAGAAAGAAGCCAGACAATGCACTGGAGGCCAGCAATTTTGGTTAAGCCTTCTGGAAATATGTGGATGTGGTGAAAGAAATGAGAAGACAGTATTTCCTCTGTGGGCAGCTCCTTACCACTTTGGAAGAGTTTGGACTAAAGCTACGTTCCTTCTGGTGGACTGCTTCCTAAAGGCAGCATGGACTGTAACGGTAGCAGCTGGGTAATTCATAGTTCACTTGAGTCAATACTGAACTAATGCTCTAGGGCAAAGACATTTTCCCAAAAACAGAGATGGAGGCCACTGAATGTTTTATGACTTTTTTGGTAAGAGTATTTACATAACAGCCATGACCTGCTCAAATTCAGATGACTGCTACCCTGCTTACCTAAAATACATTCTAGAGATTCCACTGGATGGGAACATCCCTTTGGATTTGGTGTTCCTGTTGTATTTGTGTTCATCGGCTATGTTAGGAGTTCTGTCATGTGGGCTATGGTGTTTTAGTTTATAGGCGGCTGCACGTCTTTACTTTGGTGGTTAAAGGAGGTAATTCCTTCACACACTTCAGATTTTGTAAAGTGATTTGGGATCCTTCAAGATGAGAGGTGCTATCTGAATGTAAATTATTCCACCAGCACAACTCCTGAAAACCAAAACCTTTGAAACTGATGCTGCTCCACTGCAAAATTGGAGAAATGATTTTTTTACTCACATCCTTTCAAGATTCTAATGGAATTCTTAAAAGAGACAGAATGATTTTAATGTACAGAAAGCAATTTCATCTTGATAGTCTCAATAAGCTTTTAGGTTTGAAAGGACGCAAGCTTTTTCTCTTGGTCATCCAGCTAGGATTACTCTTTGGAGCTGCTGTAAGATCGGTTCATTCTGTTTTTCCATTTCTGCTTGCAGTCACCTTAATATCCCCCAGAATTGGCCTCAGGCAGCAAAGAGAAAGAAGCACAACCATGCTCAAACTGTGACAAATTAGGGAACAACTTGCTATATTAAGATAGGCATATATTTTAAGTACGTTAACAGCATCTTTTTTTGTGAACTATTGTTTGTGGTCAGGCATGAAAATGCCTGTCAATGAGGTAGTTTCCTTCAAAGCTAGTCTCGTTAAGTCTGATCTGGCTTTTGTTCCTGAATAGGTGTCTTGTCTTTGCCTTGCAGAACCTCATATAAAGTCTCATGGTGTCAATTATCATCTTGTAATCAACCATTCAGCATCTAGCATTTGTTTTCATTGTAGTTTAGGAATTCACACACACAAAACTTGGAACTGTGCTATGCTGAAGGTGTTGAATCAAGCCTTAAAGTTCTTAAATGTATGATCACTGGAAAGATAAATCTAAGTGCAGACTTGTATTTTTGGTAACTACAGCAAAGCAATGTTCATTTTAGGAAGAATCTGCTGTCAGCAGTCTGGGTCTGTGTGCAGTACAGGGTATTTGTAATTACGTCACTGGCACTTTGAAAAATAGAATATAACCTCTAAATAGCTGTGCTCATGTGATAGGCAAACTGTTAGCAACTGGTAGAAAACTTCAAAAGAGGAAAGATCTGTGAAGAATATTTAGCATATAAGAAGGGACTTTATTAGCAATGTCTCCCTATGTCAAATGCAGCGATATAGGTAAGTTTTGAAAAGAACTACTAGTTCTGGGCTCAAAGACCCTGCAGAACAGCAACTTCCAAGTGAAGAGGAAGGACTGGTGGGACTGGTCCTCAGCCAGGCAGAATGCACGTCATTTGTGCACATCCTGGTGCCTTGTATCTGCTAAGAACAAACTGATTGAACTGGTAATTTTACCAAAATACTGAGAGACTCTAGCAAGCTTCGTTTTATAAAAACCTGTCAATTAGTTTTTATAGGAAACTAACCTTTACACAAGGCAATTTGAAACTTTCCATTTACTTATTATTAAATTCATTTTGACATTTTCTAAACTTTTACTATGTTAAACCTCCTGCCTCCACCTCTCAGGAAATGAGGCAGCAGAAGGCATGTTTGGAGAGGCCAGGACAAAGAGACCAGACTACCCAACACTACCACCGTGAACAAGCATTCAAAGTGCAGAAAGTTTTAAAGTGTTTTTTAATGCATTGCCATGAGTAGTTGCAGTCTTTTATGTGAAATAGGAATGAAATAATTATAAAGTAGAGCTTGAACAAATAATAAAATACTTGGTAAATTTGCTGCATTTTTTTTTTTAGTTCAGCTAACCCGTCCTGGAAACAAGAATCGGGAAAGTAAAACTAAGAAGCCTTCTCCTGAACTGCTACTTGTATATAACTGTAACTGAAATAAATCTCCACCATGGGGACTACTCTATGTGCTCTGGAGAAAGAGGACACATCTGTGCATTTCAAAGAGTCTTGCTATACATCGAGATTCCTTCCATATCAGATGAATGCAAAGCCAAGGTTAATTTTGCTATTACAAGATAGAACAGTAAAAAGCTTGCACATCTGGCTTCCTGTTTAGTCTGAAATAAATTACACTCATGGTTTTGAAACTGAAAGCTGCTAAATATTTGTGAAAACAGATAAACAATAAACAAGACCTGGGACACAATCCTGACTTAACTGAAACCAGTGGTGAAAATACCAGACTTCTTTGCTGTCAAGATACAGTCCTAGACTTCTTTCCTGTCAAGATACAGTCCTAGGAGCACAGTTCACCTACAATATGACACAAGGGTATTCTTATTTGCACCAGCGGAGTCATTGGTATTCTCTGGAGGAAGAATTATGCTGATGAAAGATAGGGATGATAATATTTATTCTCCATACTGCGTTATTTTCTGGATTGTACTTTGTTGAATGCTAAATACATGGAACAAAACTAGCACGAGGAAACATTTATGTTTCAGAATCTCAGTCCTAGCCATGCTTTGGGTAAATAGGAGTTTTACAAATAAGCAGAATGAATATGATTGTGCTGCAATGTCCTTCCCAAAGCTGGCAAGCAGCAGTTTGAAACAGCACACAGGCAATGCAGTTCCCATTGGTCTCATGCACCTGTGACCAATTTCCCAATGCTTACAAGTCAGTTCTGTTAAATTATTACTTTGACTTTTTAAGTACCTCCTACCACTTTGCAGATGAAAATCTATTTGTATACCTTTTAGTAAAGTGTAAATTGTTCAAGAAAAAGGAATATTGCATCAGTTGTAAAACTGACACTTCATATTAGCATAGGTCGTTTGGGACCTACTTTGCAATCCAGCAATCAAAATCACTTTACATCCACAGTACTGTGATGATGATATTCCCATAATTCCATTTGAAAATGCTTTTGGTTGTACTGTCAGTTCTTATAACCAACAAATCCGTTTTGTCATGGTGAGTAACTCTTTCTGCAGTGATGAACAATACAAAATTATTTGACGTTAGTCTGCTAAATTTCCTCTCCTTTTGTTATGTATCATCTCTTATTTAAAAAAAAAGGGTTACATTTATTTAGTAATACAAGTTCTTAGACCTTCTCTATGCTGTTGCTTGGGGTAGCAATAGATGCAAGGAAAACAACAACCTGTACTGTTTGAAAATTACTTTGAGAAATTACCTTCCTATGACTCAATTGCTCATACTCTACATCAAAGAGTAGTTTGATGATAATATGTAATAATTAGTAATTTCCCAATACTCTTTTATTTACTAAGTGAAGGCAGGCATGTCTTACTGATATAAAGGGCAGTAACTGGTGAAGAGAAATATTGAAAGATATGGCAAACTGAGATCAAGGAAGATTTGAAACTAGAACCTGATTTTCTGAATTTATAGTCCCAAATCCTTTACCCATATAAAAAACCCCCTTTATATCTATATAATACTTCAGAAAACTATGTATTTAATGCTATCATAGTGCTACACACATATACATATGCACACATATGTATATATATTTTTAAAGCACCATAACCAAAATGTGGATTTTTTTAGACTAGAGATGAGCAAAAATGGAAAAAATTGTTAGAAGCAAAATTTTTGTCAGGAAAATACTGTCTGAAAAAATTGCAGTAAAAATTACGTGAAAGATTTCCTTCAA